AGTAAAAACATAAGCGGAAAAAATTGTACGTCTTTTTTTGAAAAAGAAGGATTTTTGGGTTTTTGCGACCTATTCTCAATACTTCGCATTTTTTTCCATCAAAATTTCACTTTTTCGAGCTGGGAAGGTGATATTCGTGATCAGCTCGGCCTGGCGATTCAGAATATGTATAATAAAGCACAAAAAAGAATTTCACTCGAAGTTTGCTTTACGTGCATCTTACTTCTTTACAGCAAATCGATAGACAGCAGTATTGGTTTAAATATAATATAATAATTCTGTCGATATTTTGAAATGATGTTTGTTTCTAATTGTTTTACTATATCTGAAGTAAATATTTCTTCTTCTTCTGTTGTCGAAGACGGTAGCAGAAACATATCTAATTGTTGTAAATATTTCATGTTCTTAATGAATAATTCAAGAAGTCGAAAACAGTCATTCAATGTTCGAACTTTTATACTTTTTAATGTTTGACATTTGGAAAATATCTGACAGAATTCCTCTGATAATAAACTTGTCGTCATAGAACTACTAAAGAAATCTAAATGTCGAATCATACGATTGAGATTACGAAATAATTCAACTAGATTTTCCGCTATGTATTTATCATTATCAATTGTTGATGTTGTCACTTGTGTATATAATAAAGAGAATGGTATAGATAACGTATGTATATTTTTACCCTCTGTCAACAGTATAGACAATAATTGCGGATCAATTAACTCTGGTTGTATTCTGCTTAGAGTGAAAAAACGAATTCTTAAAAAATGAATTTTATTACTGTTAGTAAATATGTGTCGTAAATAATCTAACGCTGATCGATTTAATTCAAATGCTGACCTAATGTATATACATAACTCAGTTGTATTTTTATATGTCCAGAATGGAACCGGCTGTTGAATTTGTGATAAAGGAGCATGGACGTGTAATACAAGTATATCGACCAAGTCATACGTTTGTTTCGACGGAAAAATAGTTATTGGATGATTTAATTTGTTTCTGTTTAATGATAAATGCAACTCATTGCTCTCATAGGGTACTGTATAGATAAATAATTGTTCAAAATCATAATCATAGCGATAAGCAAAGTAGATATGTCGGTCTAACCAAAACTGCCCACGTTGAAATATAACCAATTCATGTTGTTCAGTGTAAACAATATCAGTATCAGTGATTTTAATATCTAATGAATGAACGAAAATAGAATTATACACACATATGCCACTTAATATTACGATTAATAGTCCTGATAAAGTGCTCTAGATGAAAAGTTTAGATTTGCAGGAGTCCACAAGGGCATCCAGAATACTCGTAAAGAGATATTATCTAACAAAATCAGGCAGTTAGTGATCATTGCAGTAAAGATCGAGCTCAAATTTATAGGACAAATAGAGACTAGTTTATGATTAAAAGGAAAAGATCTTCTGTTCTGTCGTTCAGAAGTAATAGGTTTCCTTTAGAAGATATAATTTTGATAAAATATATTGAAAGAGTATATTGCAGATGAGAATTTTGCATTTTTGAAGAAAGAAGAAAAGTACTTAAAAAGCGTCTATGTTGTGACCATCATATCTCGTAAAGGAATCGTTCAAAATGTCTGAAAGACGTCTCATTTGAAGGGAGTTGACTTATGTTGCCTGCCAATACTGCTTTCAGTTTTTTCAGTTCTCAAGAACTTTTCCAAGAAAATCACCTATTATCGGTTACTTTTTGAATAATTTTTCACACAAGATAGATAGTGACCTGCGGTTTCCTCGCATCGGATTTTCTGCGGCTCTCAGAATCAATATTTCTTTAGGTGTGGCAATGCTGAAAATAAATGGGAACATAGGCAATCGGCCATGCTGAATCTCGTGGCAATATTATTTTTCAAAACGCTTAAAAAAACTGGTGAAAACCTATATTAGGTAAAATAACCCATGTTTGCCTATTTTTGAGTAAAAGTAAAAAAATCATAACCTAGATATATATATCATGGATTCATTCAAATTACGCCAGAATATCAAAATCTACTCTATTTTACCTGCTCTATATAATGCAGCTCAATAAAAGCTATAAAAACTAACAGAAAATACTTTAATTTTTGAAAAGTTTTTCTAGAATTCTTCCGAAGTGCAACAGTGTTTCTTACTATTCTCAAGTAAAAAACATATAGAGCAGGTAAAATAGAGTAGATTTTGATATTCTGGCCACAGTGGGCATTTCCTCATAGAGCAGGCGGCATTTTTTGCCGACATAGTTTTTTTGAATCCAAAAGCACTTTTTTATAGGTTTTCGCATACGGTATTTCCAGCAGTGTGGCAAAGGTGAGTCGT